GCATGATTCACCTTGTCAGAAGCCTTACTGAAGCCAGTGTAAATGACGTTGACCGACTTGCCTTGCTTCAACGCTTGGAACCATCCATGCCTCGTCAACAGTAGGTTGGTGATGCACGAGCGACCTTTCACCAAACCCTACTGCGCGGGCGTCAAGCGGCTTTTCGACTCGAGTGGCTGCAGAAGGCTCTACTTCACGATCTTCTCTAGCCTCTTTGCCAAAACAGCGGTCAGGCAGATCGGCCGGTAGTTTGACTGAATCATGGGGAATGCTGATCCTCAGCAGTCCAAAAATTTCCATTTATTAGGATGAATCAAGAGAGGCAGAATCTGTGTAAGAAATTCTTTTCGGTAATTCACCTCAGACGCTGTTGAAAAGACCTATTTCGCGGCTCGCCTAAGCATAGTATTTTACAACAAGCCTTTATTCGCAAAACCTTTGAAAGACAGGCTGCCTTCGGTGACTCGATCAATGCTTGTTAATCTTTACTCGTGGTCCTGTGGTGTACGATACGTGGGTCGTACCACGAGGCGCCTATCTCATAGGATCCGCGAACACACCCCAAAGTGGTTTTACAAAGGCGAAGCGAGGTCCAGTCACAGTTCCATCTTGTCTCACCTTCTAGAGTGCAGTCACGCAGGGACGGAAAACGATTTTAGAGTCATCTATACTGTTCCTGAACGTTGCACGCGCGGATTCCGGAAGCATCTTATGTCTATTGCGGAAGCTATCTACATCCGCCACCTTAGGCCAGAATTGTGCGTACAAAAACAGTTTGTACGTCCTTTACTCCTACCGTGGCCTACAACCTCGGCTGTGGTTTCCCCTGTACATACTTGCGACTTTCAATGACCCTGTGATTTATTGATTTGTGCCTGCTAAATTAAACATTCCGTTCAATACGCAGCCCAATCCGGCCTATTTAGCACTTTCTCGTCATCATGTAATGTTTGAGTCTGATGAGAATTACCGAAAAGAATTCTTTACTCAAATTCTGCCTCCCTTGATTCATTCTAATAAACGGCCGGTAGTTATCCACTTTGCTTGGATTACCACCTTTCGGTATTGGCTTTACGACTGAGCATTTCCAGTCGCCCGGTAATAGTCCAGTGGATAGTGACCTGTTGAACAGCTCAGTTACAGAAGGCGAGATGTTGGCCGATAGGGCCTTGAGGATCAGTGGGTGGATTACATCTGGCCCGGCAGACTTCGTCCCTTCACGACTTGCGAGAAGCTTGCGTACATCTTCAATGTTGCAATTCAGGCTGTCTAGTTCAGCGGGAGCGGTACACGTCGAACTCGGTACAGACACCTGGTCACTTGCAAATACGGAAGCGAAGTGCGCCGCCAATGCGGACGCACGATCTGTGCTGGAGGTTAGGGGCTGTCCATCTGAGCCTTCTAACACTGGGGCATTGCCTGCAGGCCTCAGGCGTCGCTTCACGTAGGCGAAGATCCTCTTGGAAGATGACAGTATCCCGACTTATCAGATTTTGTAAATCCCCTGTCACGTTTGCTGTCATCTCCTGAAGGTTATTCATAACACTAAACTAAAGGATCATCAAGACAGTCAGTTGCAGTATCACCGGAATGTTTTCCCCATGCGAATGTGTCAGCTGTGGAACGCTCTTTCGAATTCTGTCATTTCTAACTCCGCCTTATCTATTGTCCGAGAGAAGCACAACTTGACGCTGCAGTACACCATTTGCACTACTTGACATCACTCGCGTTCTTCGAATGACGACAAAACTCGTAAGAACACTGCCCATCAGCCTCCTATGAAATATGGGTGGACGCATTTACATGTATGTTTACGTGAATGTAGTTCCAAGTTCACAAATGCGCAATTGACCACACCTCCAAATAGTTTTTACATTTATATGTTTCACACTGACCATCCCACGAGAATTGATGCGCCTCAGCTTGTTTACCTGTATTATAGCCTTGTTCTATGTCAGGTAAGAAACTAGGATAAAACGTTATATGCTTCCATTTGGGTCCTACGTCATCCACGTGTGAGGCACTCTTGCGAAAAATTTGTCTCAATGAGTATGAACACGATTAGGGAACAGCAGCTAAACGTTGATTAGGTCCCAATTAATTACATACGTGCCATTTTTCGAGATCTTTCTCTTGATGTTCTGAACTCCCCACTCACAAGTGTAGAGAGCGAGTGATCCACATGTCGATCATTGTTGGAGAGCATCACTTTCCTTAGCGTCCGATGTTACTCTACTGCTAATTGACATGCCCATTTCACACATTTGATCACTTGTGCCAAAGAATCGATGAGTATATGTAATGTACGATTGCTTTTTGTCCAGATGTACTGTGATCAAGAACGGTGCATAGTCCCTCTCGTAAGGTCATTTGTTCCACTCCCGTTTCTGCCAACCTACTTCTCACAAACTCTACAGTCTGTCTTATATGGGAACTGTTGTATACCACTGAACAGTCTATTGGAGCTATCGGTATCCCGAATTATAGGGTACCTTTTAAGCATTCTCAGTCAATTTTCACGGTGGTGTCTTGTGTTTTTAGAGCGTGCCTTTGCAAAAGCTGTCATATCTGGATGGTGTGTTTTGCATCAGGCCTGATCTAATCCTTGAGCATTTGCAGATAGGTCTGGTCGCTCGAGTGCCTTCTGCAGGAGTCTTCAGTATTGGCTAACTTCTCGTGATGCTTTTTCGAATTATCTTGAGCGACCATGATCATCTTGTAGGGTAGTAGGGAATCGCTTTTACAGAATGCGCGCTGCGGAGGATGCTTCACCGGGCAACAGTCGTGAAAATTATGCTGACAGTTGCTTACCACCGTACTTTGCCATAGCGCACTGCAACATGTTCTGGGCTAACCACTTATAAGCTCTATCGAAGTAGCCCTGGGACACTATGTGCTCGCCTGGTAGTTCTCCAACTTCTGTGCTCATTAGTATGAGTCAACAAAATTGAGACTAACACTTTCGCGGGACCGTTTACCAAGCTCACAAATAAGCTGCTCCAGATTGGAGAGTCATTCTGAAGCGCTCGTCGTGTGAATGAATTGCGATGCACAATCTCAATGTAGACCGCGATTCACATTGAAGTGAACCTTGGTCAACCTGACCACTGGGACCGTAGCTGATGAGACAGATGAATATTGAGTGTTACTCACCAGCAAACACTGCACCCTACGACCATCTTCGAACTCGTTCTAATTTCATCGGAACTCAGCCTTGTGGTGCACCACACTGAAGTTCCATCTGGTTGGACAGAGTGCTAGGAATTCTCACGTACATTTGCCGTTGGAAAAGGAAATCGTGGATCCTTAAAGGCATCAACAGTACACCGTACCGATGCATCGCTACCACCCAACCACTACCAGTCACGCGTGGGCTAAGAATACTACGAGTTTCGACCAGTCCCCTACGCAGACTCGAACCCGGGACCTCCAGGTTTAAAAGCAGCCGCTTTGTCCTTTCAGCCACGGGCCATATCCCTAGACCAGGAGAGGATCGCCGACTTCGAAGTTGTATGCTGGTGCAGAATAAAGCGATGATCTAGACTTGCAGCTACCTTTAGACGACCAAACCCTTGTCTTTTAATTATTTTAATATTTCTCCATTGTTCGTTTTTGTTGTCATGGATAGCATTTCGCACCACAATGCGTCACACTTTGTTATTTAGAACACACATGAATTGAACTCCACTGTTGCGCTGCCTATCCTCAAGAATTTCCAGTTCTGCCATCGTAATTGTCTTCCTGTAACGCTGTTCAAACACCTTATTTTACGTGCACTCCGTATCTTCGTTTAGCTCAAAGTTCCCGAAGCGCTAATAATAAGCATTCGTTTTAACCCTGCGGCTTGAGTAATATCTTCTCACGGAGCTGAGTTGAACTTTTATCTCTTAATGATAGTCGTAGAATGTAGGCTTATTAGCTGATTCCACCACATCTGACTTCCAGTGGGATTGTTCAGCCCTAGTGGTTGGTCCATCGTGGAGACACAATCTACTCGAGTGCTTGTGGACAATGTTCTATTACGGTCTCAACAAGGGATGGCAGTAACCTCGGTGCTGCTGCATTTATTGTGGCCGCAACTTTGGGCTCATGGTAAGGAAATACACTCGGCGAATAGATACTCTATTGTAGCTTTTTCCCTGTGAATTGCAGAACTGAAAGCGGAACATCGGTCTGTTTTCTCTTAGTGAAAACGCTTTAACTCCGGGCCCACAGATACGGTAATTCCGTGCGTTGTGTGTAGGATAGACGTAAGGCTTCAATTGTAATTGTTTTCCGGGGGTTATTCGGTTAGAAAATATTTCTTCCAAAATGCAATGATAACGACCTGAAAATTCCTTACTTCATGACGTAGGATTAAGAGGAGTATGTAGTCCACTTAAGCAGTCAGCATCCTAAAGAATGTGCCTTGAGGTTGATATACTATCTGGAGAGGTGCCACATTATTACTCCCGAGCAGCACGCCTTCCGTCAACAGCGATCGTGCATAAGGAAGTTACTAATCGCACAGAGTAAATGGACCGAGTCAGCTGACGCTGGAGAGGACTTTGATGTGATCTACCTGGATATTTCGAATGCATTCGTTCCTCTATCGGATACTCCTATCCAAGCTCCAGTATCATCGCATCGATGGCTCTCTTCTATGCTGGATCGCCAACTTGTACTTTTAACGAAAATTAGTGACCAGAGTTTGAAGCTATTTATCGGATCCATACAAGTCTAGTGTGGTGTGTGGCATGGCTCAGTTCTAGGTTCACTGTCGTTTTTGGTCTTTATCAAAGATCTCGCACAGGCTATCATTTCATGACTCCCATTATTTGCTCAAGACATCAAGATTTGGCGCAGGGTTCAGGAGAATGTCGACCAGCATCTGCTTCAGAGTGACATAGACACGATACATCGGTGGTCAATCGAAAATTTACTTCATCATCATGCCTTCTCTGGTATGCCTCGTGTAAAATCGTTAATATACCTTGTCTTACAATTCAACGTGACTAAGCACAAGGTACCCTCCATACGACACCAAAGAAACTACTCATAAAGGTTAAGCACGTATGTATTGCAGCAATCTTCCGTCGAACGTGATCTGGGTGTGTTGGTTGGGGATGACTTGCGTTATTCCAGGCAATTCGAAAAGACATCGAAAGCTGGTAACTAACACATTGCGGCACAGTAGCTGAGGTGTTTCCCACCTCTAGATGACGTGTATAATGATGATGATGATGGTAACTAACACATCTGGCTGTTGAGACGGGCATTCGGATAAATAGACATCTCTATTTTTCTACAAATACTCCGTGTGTATGTTCGTCTTCATATCGAATGCACAATTCAAACCTGCCATCCATGGTTGAAACGCGACCTTAATGCACTGGAGCAGCGATGACCTTGAGCATCTAAATACGTTATTGGAATGCGCAATCCCCCATGGGAACATAAATAAATAAATGTTATGTTTCGAGGTGCAGTCAAACTATGTGGTCTGATCAATGCGTACAACAGGATCGCAAAAAAATATTCAATTTGTTCACGCTTTTTACAATGGATCCAAAACAGGTACTAAACTAATTGGCAGGATTAAGGCATTAAAGAAAATAAAAAGCAGGAACAATAACGTAAGCAGATTTAAACAGATGTCCAGTTAAAGTAATACGGCCACTCGTGGAACCATCCCCAGGGGACCTGCTTCCATGCAAGGTATTCCCTCGAAAGGTTTCGCTCGTACTTCCATGCAAAAACTGGCCGTGTGCCGGTGTGGCATAGTAGCATATGAGCCATCACCTGTATATCATATGTTTTGTTCATTTTAGAGCTGCTTTTGAACATGTATTATGGGCCATGAAGGCTCAGCCCAGTCCGTCATGCGGATCATTCTATTATGGCACTTCTTTATACGCCAGTCAGTTGGTGGCAATTTGCCTTGCATAGGTAACGTCTTTTATAATCTGGAAGCTGTAATCCGTCACCACAGTAGATCAGCCCATTCGTGGCCAACTAGGAAATAAGGAAGAATATAGAAAAGAAGAATTATGTGAAAGAGGTACTATATCGTTAATGTAAAAAATAGGCAGGTATGTTTTGTACATGGGCGTAGAAATCGACCGAGCCGATCATACGATAAATTGTGTAACGTGACAGCCGGAGACAGATGACTGTACGAGTTGTCCATAGGCAAAAGTCGCATAGGGAATCAGTTATTGCCATCACTAAATTCAAGTATATGTTTCTGGACTGTTAACTTCAGAAAAGAGGGGGAAATGATTAGCACTGATTAGCACAGAAGCTGAAACGATCGGGGTATTCAGTCTACGGTATCGCAGCTTACGAGGCTACCTGAAAATTGCGTACTTGCTCCTGCATGATCCACATCATCTGCGCTGCTTCTTACTGCAACTCAGTAGTAATGCAAACCTGAGCAATCACTCACTGAGACTTTCAGAACAGTATAGCCGTCTGGAATGCCGCGTACATTTCTTTTCTAATCGTGTGTGTCACCTGTGGGAGGATCTGCCTGAATCGGTTGTCTGCACCGACAGTATTTAAACGACTTTTGGATGATGCACTCATCCACTTACTTTTTCACTTAAAGCTACGTCTCCATCTTACTCTTGGTATATACCTTGGATTTATTTGAAGCCTTCGGTGGGTGCAGTGAGACCACACGGAGTGCAAGACTACAGCACAACAGTTTCCATAACCCCACCAGCGCAGCCAATGGGACTTGTGAAGCAGTGCTTCTTAACTTGTAAATTCATTGTTTTGTTCACAGTTGTACTACGGGATCACAGCGGCAGTTCCTTCACCTCCAATTCAGTTGGTTCTGGGTGCACTGTGTCCGAGTGAAACTTACAGTTATCTTAGTGCCACATTGTATGAAGAATGGACAATAGCAATCGCTGTCGATGGTTCTCGGTACTCCCTCAATGGGATAACATTATACACACACTGTAGTAAAATAGACCTATTGACATCTCTCCAATTTGAGCTACTGACTTTTAACAAAGGACAGTGTGTCCGAAACCAGTGTAGTGAGAATCCTCCATATTGCTCAGTATGTGCCTAGTGAACTTTCAGACATTGCTTTTACAGTATACTAGGTGGTCTTACAACCAAACGTTAAGCACCTCAAGCTCTTTGATCATCTAAAATATCAGGAAGGAACAACCTCTTCCAAGTACTTGTCGAATGATCAATATTTTATTTGCAGTGATAGTCGTTTAGACCCCACGGGAAGGAAAATGACAGCGCTACCATCATTCGAAGGGCATCAATAAATATCTCCCGATGGGAGTCGATAATGCATGCTGCTGATAATCCGGACAAGAGTAGCTACCATTAAAGCGTTACCACCTGTGAATTATGTACTACAGCAAGCACACACACAAGAGCTGATACCCAAATGAGTTGTCCGAGAGCTCTCGTATACACAGTGTTCTAGCCTTCAACATCCCGGGTTCTACGGACTTTCATGGGGTAGCAAATACTTTTTGCACCACATCCGGTATACAACGGCACACCCAATAAAGTGCTATAGAAGATCCACGCTTATCCAGCACCGGTTAGGCTGCGTTTCTCTTATAAACCTACCTTAACTACCATGGTCAACAAACCAGATGTTATACGCACATCGCCACACATTACCGCTGTTTTGTTTATTAATCCGTTGTCTGGACCACAAACATCTTGCACGAATGGAATTTCACACCAGGACAAGAGTGCTCGACTACAGCCACATCATAGGCTGAATTAACTCGGTTGGATTTCATCATCCGTATTTATGCTTAGATTGTACACAAATAAATGACTAAATGAGTCCTTGATTTTTCGACAATGCTAGGTCAAAACGAATCATGTTCCACTTAGCTGGACTGGTTTCTTGTGATAATATCTTTCTGATATCCGCTCATAACTTGCAACAGGAGAAGTTAGAGCCATTGACTTCCCTGTATCACTCTAACCAACATAGTGAGAAGGCGAGTGTTGTCAGATGATATCATTTCGTGCCATCTGATTACATACGAACCAGCGAAATGTTTAAAGATTACCGAAAGAAATATTAATGCGCTGAATGCTGTCAGAGTGGAAGTGGAGATGCGTAAATGCATAGGTCGCGGTGCCACGATCCCCAAGGTAGCTTGGGTATGACACCTGGCTGTTTTGCGCACAAAGGTCACGGTTGATAACCACAGCCTCAGCGAGCTTTAGTTGTTTGGCGTTTGTATTGCTTTAAATAACCGTAAATGTCAAGGCAAAGTCAACTCCATGACCTGTACCAAGTTGTACAGCAATCGATTTTGGAGACTGACATCTGTTCCCGTGCTTGTTCTGTCACAATGGCAGCAGCCCATTCGGGATTATGCTCTCCGATCCGCTTCCCCCAACACTGATCTGCTACGCAGATCTAACTGCTTCAGCAGTCACGGACAAATTGCCAAACCCACGGTCATGAGAGTGTGGCCATCGAAGAACTATCAGGTTCCACTCACACAGACGATTGAAAAATTCGCTGTCGCCATCAAGTCCAACTGCGAACGTTCCTAGCGAACTAATCTAATTCGATTTTTCCTCCACATTCCAATGTACTGGCCGCGGCGTCGTTCTTGCAGTCACTGATGTTAGTAATAATACTCATAATAATAATACGTATATTTCTCTTGATGAGAGAAACTGTGCCTACGACGGCACAGATCTATTTGTACAGAAGGATCCATGCTTTTGCATGTGTGTCATGCATAGGTCGACTATTGGGATATGCGTTTCATGTATTAACATTCTGCCGGATGCTTGAGACTAAAGCCTAATAATGAAAACATTGGTGTTTATAGGTTTTTCGGCCGCTCTTTGAATAGCTCCTTGAGGGAATTTTCTCATGCGAAATATAGAGCTTAGGGTAATTAGATCAAAATGATTGGCGAGTCTGCTACTAAATGTTGCCACATTGTCACATGACCTGAGTGTTATTGGTACTTTATTCCACAGATAGCTGTATGTGACCAGGGAGAAATTAGAGCAGACGTTAAACTTGTGTTACCGTCAGAACTAACGGCACCAACCCTACTAAAGAACTGAACTAAATTCCGTTGCAGATTTCCAACAGAAATTCGTCTGAAAACAGCAGGAACACCAGCACCTTCTAATGAAAACTCAGTAGAAACACAACTCTTAATGAAAATGCCAACTGCAGGACCCGACTCGGGGACGGTTTCAAGAGTAGCCATACTATCCGGAGGGGCACAGCAGAGCACGAGCAAACACCGGGATTCGGGGCATCTGATACCTGCTTATATATCAAATACTTCTCGAGAGTATGCAACCTATCCAAAAAATGATTAGTCGCCGACCATTTATTGGTCGGCGTAAACTCATTTGCTTCATCCATCCAATCTAACACACTTTTTGTCTCCGAGACGGTCTCATGCATGTACACAAATGCCCAAATTAGCAAATGCAAATGCAAATTAGCTGAATTAAGATTTCGACACGCGTCTGCAGCTTGGGACCTCATCGATGTCACCGAAACGTGGTTGCCCTGCGAGATAATGGATGCTGAGATTGTGCTAACGGGCATGTCCGTTGTCCGGAAGGATCGAACCAGCAATGGTGGTGGGGCAGCTCTTTACTTTCGTAACAGCATGCAATGCGAATCAACAAAAGATTCGGAAACCGACGTACCTGACGCCATTTGGTGTAATTTCCGGCTGAGAGGGAACGGTCTTAGCCTATTGGTTGTTGTTTTCCGCCCACCATCGTCTACTCTTGAGATGGACTGCAATTTGATGGCTGCGTTGAGGCAAGTGATAAACAGGAAGTACAGTCACATTCTAGTCACCGGTGACTTCAACTTACATGCCCTCGAATCCCGGGCCACACCAGGAGAGCAATTCAAAGCGGATTTGCAAGATTTGGTTTCAGATCTCCAGCCTTATGGTCACGTCATTACGCCCACCAGGTTCAGGGGAAATGACAGGCCATCCAGATTGGACCGAATATTCACCAATGAAGAATTGATGATCGAGTGAGTGATAACCGATACTCCTTTGGGTCGCAGTGATCATGCGCGCTAGTGTTTCATTATATGTGCCACGCGGAGTATCCTAAAGAGCATGCTGAGGAATATCAGGTCGTAAACAACTATGACGACCTGTCCGACCTCA